TGCTCAGAAGTCTCGTCGAGCACGACTGCACCCGTTGCGTTGGCGATAGATTGTCCATCTGTAGGAATGGCGTACTTTGCGTCGGTAAAATCGTACCCGCCATCAGTGAAAGACTCTGAGCGCATTGAGACATCGTCGGCTATGACCTTGCCTCGATTGAAGACCGTAGATATGCCGTCCTGGACATCCACACTACCGGGTCCAACGCTACTGGCCCCTTCCAAACGCAGCTCTCTCAAGACGCTGCTCACAGAACCAGCCGTGCTCGACGCATCTGATGCAATCGAGATTCCAGTGTGGTAAGCCGGTCCAGGCCCTGCCGGTCCATATTCGGCTGGGGGAAGAGATGGCTCAAACACACCGCCCGTGCCGTCGTCGTTTCCACCGGCCCAAAGAGGGAGGAACTTGTATTCATTGTTTGTCAGGGTCAGTAAAAGATGGCCGGTCATATTCATGGGTATTTCAAATCCGATACGAACTGAATCCTGGCTGAATGGGTGGAGGAGCGACTTGAGATTTTCTTGGAAAGACTCTGGATCGAAGGCGTGTTGCGAAACCATCAACGCTCCCCCCGGCCCAAGATTCAAGACAGCCCTCCAAGCCGGATCGCGTCTGAAGGAAGGATGACTGGTGAGTACATTTTGCGAGGCAATCCACAATTCGGTGGCCAAATGATAGAAGTTCAGGTTCTTCGTTCCGATCGTGAATAAGTTGAAAGTCCACGCGAGATTTCCCCACTTGTCCCTGATATTGTCGTATATGAAAGGACATAGTGCCTTTTGGACGTCATTGAAGTAGTTATACGTCAATTCAAAACGATTGAAGTGCTGGATATCGACGTAAGTCGCGCGATGATCGTCGATTCTGTTCAGCCGGTCGGCGTCCAGCAGTTTGCCGATTACTTCGATGACCACCTGAGTTTTCCAAACCTTCTTCAAGGCTTCGGCCAATCTAATGGCCTTCTCCTTGGCTGCTAGACAGGTCTGATCGTCGGGAAGGCTCGAGAACATGACAATGAGCTCGTGCAGGCGAATCCACTCGGGTATTTGCAGGTCGTCGAAGATGGTGTCGCTCATCAACTGCTTTACAGGCCGCGAGACACGCTCAACCATGGCCCGAGCAGCATGCTGAATGAGGTTATTGAGATCGTCGCCGGGATCGTGACGTCTGCGGCCAAACACTGTATAAGCGGCGGCCTTGGGCACTCCATTGGGAGCAGCAGCTTCTTCGATGGCCAACTCATTGACCAGGATTCGGAATGCAGAACGGGTGACATCCTCTGACTGCAAGGCTACACCAATCTGTAAGCTTTCTTCAGGAAGAACTTCAATGAACATGGTATTGTTAGCGCTCATGAGCCATTGAAGAACCTGGTCACGCTACGCTTTTTGTTAGCAGAGTCTCCCCGGGGCGATGTTTACGAGTGGACTTACGACGACATGCGTGCAATCCAGAATCTTCGCGACAGCCATCAGAGTCCAAACTCGAGGGGCAGAGTCAACAAGGACTCGCTTGTCGGAAATCATGTACATCAGGCGGAGGATATTCACGCGGTGGCGGACAGCGCAGTAGTCGGGAATCCGACGCCATGAAGGGACGGGCTCAGGTGTTAGATCCTTTTTGGACTTCTTCTCCAGCATCCTAGCAGCGGCTCCTTTGGTGGATGTGTATGTCCTCTCCGAGGACTTTGCAGTCTGTGGCCCAGTCTCTCGTAGGCTCTGTGCGATTGCTGTCTCGATCGCGCGTTCCATTGCGACATCTCTCTTCTCTGTGATCTGACGTGAGACCATGCCGTTGGGCGTGGAACCTGGCATTGCCGTTGCAGTGGCCTTATCACTGTCTTCCGGCTGAGGATCCTTCCAGCAACCACATATGTCATCGTGTCCAGAAACAACGTAGTCGTCAGTGCCGTACTTGTCGTACGCCGTCCACCAATTTATGATGCCAGGTGTCAGGGAGACTTCCGTCATCTGGAATACGAGGTCGTCACCCTCAGATGGTGGGGTCAGATCGATGACGAACTTGATACCGTCGGGGAGCTTGTTAACCAGCTTTCGCCGACGCATAATGCGGTATTGGTACGTGGGACTCAACATTTCAGCAAACTTGGATGATCCGGTTGCCTTGAGCTTCTCAGAGTGCATGCGAAACTCCACCGAGTTCCAGGCATAGACGAAGCAGTCGACATTATCGGCAGGCCTCGTAGGGGCCGGGAAGTCGACAAAGACTATGGTGTCTCCGTCCGAAAGTTCGTTCCGAATGTCATGGAGGAGGAACTGAGAATAACGGCGGCGCTCGACATGCGTCATGTCGGCCTTGAGAGTGAAAGCGGGTTGGGAAGTCGGCGCGTAAACATCTTCCTGTGATCCGGACCCGTTATCGGGATCGTCCTGGAGGTTGTCGTGCGTAGTGTCGGCGTCCTCGACGGTCTCTTTCGTATCGAAGAAACCATAGATATTGACCTCGTCGGTGTTGTTTGCGATTCCATGGTTGTCATTATCGTGGTCGGGAGCGTATTGATCCCAAGAAGAAGGAAGATCGTCACCCGACGGTGGCTCCATAGGAATGCCTCTATCCCAGTCGTTCATTTTGAAGGCGACGTCGAACGCGACGGGAAGGATGCTCGTGATTGTGCGAGGCAGTTGGACAGCGGTCGCCTGGTGAAATGTGCCGATGCAAGCGTGGAGGGTGCAGCAGGTCTGTTGCAGAGGCCCGAAACGGATGGTGATGCGGAATTGATGAAGTAGAATATCCGAGAGAGGAAGAAGGAAAAGACATTCGATTACTTGAGGCGTCTTGGTTGTCGTAAGTGAGGCGCACCGGGTGGTAGAGAGGTTGCGCAGCCTTGTCCAGGCAGCAAGGCCTTGAGGAGTCAGATGTCGATGCAGGTGAATCTACCTCAGGCTCCTGTACCCGGGGCGTGCGGCGGGAGTCTTTAAATGAGGTCGCAAAGGTTGAGTTCAAACGCGAAGGAGCTTCTTGGGTAGATTTCCGAAAGGAGCTTGTAGCTTCCAATGGCCAAGTCACCGACAATAAAAAAGTACGATGATAATGCACCCAGATGGCGAAGGTGAGATGCGGCGGAGGGGTTTGTAGAAGTGAGGTGAAGCATGCCTCACAAGTCTACCGACTTGGAGAAGGTACTTTTTATTTGGGTCGTGGCTGTTCAGGCAGGAGGTGAACACAAAAAGGGCATAAGCAAATGGAAAGGAAAGGCAGGCTAGGCAACCCGTGACCCTGCCTGCAGCTCTGTATTCGACATGGAATTCAAGTAGAGGTGGGTGGATGGTGCTTTGGACCCTACGAATACCTCCTCTACTTCAGTGTCAGCGTGAGACCCGACGTTGATTCGGTGTGGCTCGTTCTCCCAAGAAGAGCAGGTCACGTTTAGGCAGATACGTATATGGCCGAGAGTTACACTCTTCTTGTTTGGGAAGAAGATGAGAAGAGCCACATAGTGTCCGGGAAGGAATTTTAAGAAAGTCTCAACCGGGCCCTCTTGATCAACGACAATTTCAGCCCATGTACAATTTTCCTACACTTTTGGAGTCGCGAAGTGATTGTACCAAGGTCCCATGTTAAGTAACTGGGTCCTATACCCACCTTAGGTTGGTTAGACATTCAGCACATAGGACCGCGCCCTCATTTGTTCGTTGTTGACGTTAGGAATCTAACCATGGAATGTCACTGCTGTCTGCATGTCCCTGCCTGCCTGCAACGCCTGCCTGCCTACCTTACCTTCCGAGCTAACAGTGGGTTAGCGGCAGTCACAAGGTACCCCCGCCTTCCCGCCCTGGTGTGCCTGGGCACGTACCCATAGCGGGGAAGCTTCTACCTACCTAGATAGGCACCTTAAGGTGAAGTACCTAAAGGTACCTAAGACAGGCACCTGCCCGAAGTGCCTTCCTGATAGCTCTCCAGTCTATAAATCTAGCACGCAGTACATCGCGAGGTATTCCCGTTTTCCGCTCTGGCCGTCACTCGCCAAGTGAGAAGAACACAATGAGCCTCGGAATCCATGTTCGGATGGGAAGCCAAAGCGACATTAAAACCAGAGGCTTCGGGCAAGGCTCCAGCTACAAAGCTTGTGTATTCTCACAGTGTTAGTCTTAGCGTACATTACATGATATTATCTTTGATAGTAGCTCTACATATTATTCTACAACCTCAGCTTCCCCGCGTAGCCTTTTGATACCCTGGCTCCTCGACCAGGCGTCAGCTGAAACCCTGTCCAACTCTAAAATTCGCCTTATCATTCATCGCATGGCGTACTGGCCCTTGACTGAGCGCGCGAGTGCCGCCGACCGGCGTGAGCTCCATGCTGTCTTTCTGCGATAAGAAACCACGCGCAGTTAGCTGACGTATCTTTTAGCCAGTATCTCCCGTCGAACTGATAGCTTGTCAAGAAAATGACTCTCTTCGCCCCAAACCGTGAGTGGCATGGTTATATTCCATCACCCAGCCTCAAGCCACGTCGCGTGCCTTTCCACAACTACCCCAAGCTTTCCTAGCCCGAAATTATTGTCGTGTCTCGCCCCCCCCCCCCCCCCCCCCCCCCCCCCCCCCCCCCCCCCCCCNGGTTCCCCCCCCCCCCCCCCTTGCGTCTCCCCGAACCCGCCATCTAGAAACCCAGCAAACCCCGGCCACTGTAGTCATTCATTTGGGTACGTTCTAGGCGTCGTACAGGGGCCGTAGTAGGACCTCTTGTGCGTTCCCCAAAAATTAGGTAATCGTCATGATGTAGTCGAGTCGTCTGATCCAAGACACCAAGCAGCTCCCTCCCGTTTCCCCAACAAAAACGAGTGCCCCTCCACCTTTGGCCCAAAGATCTGGAGCTAGGTAAGCTGAGGTGCCGAGGACGTGGAGATCTACTTAATGCTCCCCCCCTCCCACGCCTCCACACATTGGCAGTGATCGGTCTGTACGCCTACATTGCGTCTGGACGCTGAAGTTGTAACTTCCCCAATTCCACCACCAATATTGTCTTGATATCTGTCATCATGGATCCCAAGCCAGCCATGCCAAGTCAGATTCGCCCTGGCATGTAAGTGTACTGCACCTTCACCCCCTAGCTTCCGCTACCCGAACGGTATGCGCCAGCCTGGACAGCATACTGACACGCCCATGCAGACGTCACCGCGGCGTGCTCCTCGCTGCCATGGTTGTATCCACCGCTATAGTCGGCATCAGATACCAAGCCAACTCCAGAAGAACAAACGAGTTGAACCAGCGGACAACGGCCCCCTACTACGTAACTGTCGACAGGAGCGGCGGTGGGATCTGAGATGGCACGCATAGTCACTGCGTCTGAGCTGGCGACGGACGAAATACTATCATTTACCACAATACAATTCTGTGTGATTGAGTCACATCCAGAGCAGTAACTCGGAATATTAATCCAGGGGAAGAACTATGAGAGTCAATGGAAGAAAAGGAAGACAAGAATGAATTTTTGTACGTATCAATACATGAGACTGGGACGACTGGAGGGAAAATGACCTCGAATCGATCCTGGCGCAAACTCAAATACCATCATTACTCCATCTACATGTCCAAATGCAACGCGCAACCAGCTCGCGATTTATATGCGACTTGACTGAAAACAGGTCAAACTTCCAGAGAAAACCTCTGATTCCAAACGCCCCAGCGATGCGACAATTACCAGCTGTGACTGAGGTATAGCGCGCCAGAAAATGCCCTGCAAATCAAAACGCGTCGCCCCTTTTACATTGAGCTCCTCTTCCCTGGCGCCATGCTCTCGCTATCGGAATCATCGCCAGACGAGTGTGCGACTTCCTTGCCCTTTGCTTTTGCGCTCAGCAAACCCACCTTTGGCTCCAGCATGCTCTTCCGACTAGGTGGGCGCTTGCCAGTGGTTCTCCTGACCATCTTGGGTCTCTCAGCACCTTCTTCCTTTCTCGCACCAGCAGGACTTGCCAGCCCAGAAAACTTCTGGAGTTCTTCGCCTGATGAGTTGCGGCGTGTAGTTGGGGCAGTCGAGTTGGAATTAGTCTTGAGCCCGCGCAACTCCCTGGCAACATCGGCGAAGCTCTCTTCCAATGTCTTCATCCGTGCCAACACGAGCTTGCTCATACGGTTGCTATCACCGGAATCTTGACCGCGTCCCGCTCCGTTGAGTCGTGCGTCCTTCATCAACGCCATCGCCATTTGAGTTTGGAAGCTCGACGGCATGCCTCCCGTCGGGTCGTCAGGTGCTATATTGTCCGACAAAATGCTCATGTCAACCGAGGATAGTCGTCTCATCTGGTTCGGACGGAGCCGCTGGTCGATGCCCGTGAGCGCTGCTCGGTTGGGCGCAGTCTGAGTTGCGTCCCTAGGTGGCAGTATAGGCCTGGGCCGTGTGTTGGTTGTCACGTATGTCTGCCGGCGCGGCGAGCGATGGCCGCTAGTCGCTGCCGGCTCGACCACCGCAGCTCGACTAGTCTGCACGCGCGCGCGAGTGGGCGGTGGCTCCGGTGACGAATGAGAAGACGAGCTAGGCGGTCGGCGCAACTCCTGAGGGGCGTATAGGATTGTGTTCGTCGACATTGTCCGACTGTGAGGTATGCGGCGTGCTGAGCGAGGGGTAGCGGCGATGGACGGCCGGCCGCTCGAACCAAGTGATGACGATGTAGGCGGAGCAGCGCTGAAACGCTTCGACATCGGCGTTGTAGTGAAGTAATCGTCAATCTGAGTCTGGTGAATCACAGGGCCCCGACGACTCTCGCCTGCGTTTGTTGCGATGTCCTCCTCTTCTTCCTCATCATTTGTGACAAGCTCATCATCACCGTCGGCGTCCGTCTGCTGGTTCTCTTCTTCCTTGGCCTTCGTTGCCGCGGCTATCCCTCGGAAGAAAGAGCCGATGGCAGGCTGTGACGTAAAATCTGCGGGATCGCTTGCAGCCGATCTGATGTCTGATATTTGTCGAGACCGCTGAGATCGAAGCTCCCTTGAGAGACTCAATCGACGATGCCAGTCAGGTCGTATGCTTTGGCCGCCTTCCATCGTCGGCCACTGAGGGACCTGAGGAGAAGCGTCGGCATCATCGGCCTGATCCATCCAGTTACGGATGGCATTTTGCGTTTTCCTTCGTTCATGCCGTCTCTGATTTCGCAACGTGGCGATGCCAGGACCACGCCGAAACACTTCCTCCAGAGCGTGGTCTTTCTGGTAACCGGTAACAGATTCCTCGCGAACCCGCACGTTGGGACTGAATAACGCAGAGCGAGCCGAGGGATCAGCGAACGAAATGGTTCTATCACGCCCATGATGGTGGTTTTCAACGAGATCCGTTGGCTCGAACATTGACGGCGCCAGCCAATACTTCTCATAAAGATAGATTGAAAAGAGGAGAGGAAAATGCGTGACCTTGATGATGGTCCTGTTCAGCCGGACAAAATGCTTCAGCGGCATGCAGTACCGCAGAGGCATGAGCAACCACGCGAAAATGTTTCCTGGCGCAACGTAGGAGAACAAGGCATCGTTCTTGACCATGGAGATCGTGTTAATGGCGAAGAGAAATCTAGATTGTGTAAGTAGATTGATTTGGCGATGTGATTGGCAGGGACCCACTGATGCTCTTCCCTGGCATTGGAAGCGATCTTCATAAAAGAGTTGGTCAAAACGGTAATTAGAATGGTGCTGCTCTTGTTAGCTGGAGCTGAAGAAAACGGACGGGACTAGGCTTACACAACAACGAAGTGGCAGAGAATCAGGAAGAAGGCCATGAGCCCTCTCTCAAGCCAATTATACACGGGCCAACTATACAAAGTTAGCAACGGAGACGCAGGCGGCTGTAGGGGCCATGTGACTTACACGTCCCAGGCGGCGGGAGTGAAGCCCATCAATATCTGGAAGATCTTGAAGGCTATATCCGCCGCATCGTTGTTGCTATCTGCAAGGGTGAAGAAAACGAAAAAGCCGCTACATGCGATGAGAATGAGAATCGCAACGGCGGCAAGGTCGACTGCCATCAAACGGAAAGCAATGAGCAGCTGGGAAAAGTACGGGTAGTGGTCCAGTACACTGAAGATACGGGGCAGCAGCAGAATGGCATTCGCCGCGAGGACATCGTAAGCGGAATCATTCCAATGCTTGGGGTCCACGAGGAACACTCCGTATACACGCATGAAATAGTAGACAATCAACAGAACCAGGATTCCCAGGTCGAAGACGTTCCAGAAGCTCATGATGTAAAGTGAGAAACCCTGCTCGTTGAACCCAACAAGCTCATCCAGCATGAATCCGGCACTCCAAAACCAAAAGATCAGCTCCAACGAGCTGATGCGGGCTGAACGCTGGGAGAGGACAGCGAGAAATAAGCCGATGAGCACAAGTAGCGATAATGTCGAAAGGAAGAATCTGTAGCGGGGAACCCGCAGGCGCGAAAGCTTGAACAGAGACGCCTGACGAGGATCGTAAAGAATAACGCTCCGTCTGCCTAGCACAGACTGGTTCTGCTGCCCTTCCTTCTGGTTATGCCCACCCAACAGCGGCGTCCGCGCATCTGGCAGCCCCTGAACCGGAGATGGTGGCGGTTCGCGGTGTAAGCTGTCTTGAGACGAGTAAAAGCTGATGGCGCCGTTCCAGATGGCTTCTAGTTGTTGGACGACTAAGGGATGGGCGAGAAAGTGCTTGGCGGAAGCACGAATAGCGACTTCTAGGGTGGAAGTTCGTGCGGCAGTGAGGCGTGCCTTGTTTTTTGGATCGTTCTTCGGTGCATTCGCGGGCTGAGCCCCAGGAAGTCCTTGCAGAGGATAGAAGTCATATGAGAGGGCATCGATAAGTTCGCGAGTGTTGTACTCCTTGAGGAGCTTCAGCGCCAGCAGCTCACATACCAATGCCCTAGTGTAACTTATTCCAGCATTACCCGGGTATAACTGGCCTTCCTTGTTGAACTGTAAGCAGTTGGCCATGAGGCAGTAGAGAGTCGCACGATTGAACTGCTGAGTCCTGATTTGTTGCTGCATAGGCTTGACCAGGAACTGAGAGACCTGCGGCGAGCGTATCTGATCCCATGTCAACGTCGTTTCGGTTCGGGTCTGAATGATGATGCGAATCGCGTGGGTGATGCTGTAGATAGGAAGGGAGTCTGTGAAGTGGTTGTTAGTCCGAGTTGATGAAGACTAGGGGTCTAGCCAAACAAGGCTCTAGCTTGTGCGTACCGAGATATGACTCCGAGAAGAGAGGAAGGACAGGCATGGTACGATGTGGATGGTCCTCGTCATCCACGGCATCGGGATCGTCCCCAGACTGTGCTAAGCCATCGTCTTCCTCCTCTTCCTCTTCCTCTTCCTCTTCCTCTTCCTCCTCGGCCTCAGTGAAGTCTGCTACTGCGTGTCGTGATTCGCCATAGTGGCGATAAGCTGGTCCGGGGGAAGGCGAATGCCTATCGTGAAGTCGGTCAATGCGACGACTGCGATTGCTCTGCTTGGGTCGCAGCAGAGAGGAAAACATGGTCCAGTCGGAGTGAGAGATGCAGCCCGCCGCCTTGTGTTATTGCGTCTCACAGCGCCATGGGGCGGAGACCGAGCAAGACTGTATGGAGACGCGATGTGGGAGGCGGTTCGAGAGCACCGGAAGGAAAGGGGCTCAGGTTTGGGTTGCCGCGGATGCGAGAGGCCGTCGAGAGCACCGGCAGGCCGAAGGAGGCGCGAAAGAAGGTAGAAGGAGGTAGGGGAAGGCAACGGCAGGTCGAGCACGGGAGTAAATAAGAAAGTCCAGACTCCAAACCCGGTGGGCAATGTATGCGACTTGGGATTGGCGACTGCGACTGCAACTGCAGCAAGGTCAGGTCGGGCCAGGATCCCCGTGGTCGAGACGCAGAAAACGATGCAATGTTTTGTGGGGAAGCCGGTCAAAGTCTTTTTTTCCCCCTCGACAGAACAGACGAAAGTACGGGAAAGGCAATTATGTATGTAGGTGGGCGAGTGAGAGGACTGGAGGGCCAAGGGAAGAGAAGAAGTACGGATAGTACAAAGAACAAAAGAGACACACTAAGAGTGCAGCGTGCTAGTTAGGAGAGGACAACGGCAAGCAACATGCGCGCCTGGAGCGCGGATCGAGATTCAGAGAGGACGATGCGATTTTTAGCGTAGGTAAGGTACCTAGTTGGACAAGTACACTCTCAGTTAAGGTATGGCAGTATGGCAGTATGGAAGAGCTAGGTAAATAAAAGGCAAGGCGAGAGATACTGCATCAGGTAGTCCTCCGGTGCAGGCAGTAGGGACATGGAACTTTCAGGAGGTGGAAGGCAGGCAAGGTATAGGGTTCGGCAGAGACGAG